CTTTCGCCTTCAAAGCTTGAAGTCGCAGGGATGACTTCTTCTCCGGAGGTGTTCCCTTCAATTTCGAGCTTCGGTTAGTTACCTTTCCCATTTGGGAAGATGATGAATAGTAGTCCGAAATAGAAACCTTCTTGGATGGTGATAAAACTTGGTTGTAGAGGTGCGCCTAAGCCAGGCGACCCCCACACAAACCTTGAATTCTTCCCCCAAGTCCCTCGTTGGTGTAGATCTTCAATTTGCAAACAGTCAACTGCGAATAGTACCTTTGAGCTAAGAACAAAAGTTAGTGTTTTTCCGTCGATTATAGCGTGGATGGAAGTTAGAAATCAAAGATATTACAACGCCAAGAAGATGGGGTGTAATATGGTGGATTTCCAAGCTCCGGTGAAGGATGTAGGGTGGTGGTTTGCGGTGGTGGAGGGGCGGTTTCCGGCGTGAAAGAGCCAATATGGCCGTTGGGGGCCAATTGGGAGAGAAGAGCTCTCAACTCTCAACTATCACCTTATGAAGTGCTGCAATAGTTGCCTTTGTTAAGCCCTTCGATCAATCCCCGTTCTAAACCGATTAGAAGTGGAAATTCTGGAGTCTGGACAGCAGCCAAAAGCCGGGCGACTTTCGTGGTCTGCAACTACGAACAGCCTCCTATACTTGGCGGTTTCCGGCGGTTTCAACTCCTATCGATTCCATGACTCTTCTAAGTTAAATACCACCACTTTATAACATTATTCTACACTTTTTAACATGTAGAACTTCATATATAATCCATCATATGATTTCTTAAAAATCATACAACATAAAACTAGTTAAGAGATATACTTGAGTTCTTACCTTCAACACAAGCTATCTCTTGTTGGATTACTAGTTCCCTTCTTCAAAGTTGTTGTGTTGTGAGAGTTTGTTCCAAGCTTCCTCTGGCTCTTTCTCTTGTTCGTATGGAGTAGAGAGCAAGGAGAAATATCCTCCTTCAATCACACCCCAATCAAAGTGTAGACAAGGCCAAAAAGAGGGTGGGTGTTTGTCATGCACATCACCTCACTCAATAATCCGCCCCAAGCCATGCTAACTTGTCCCCTTCCCATTATTTGGGAGTTATTTGGCTGATAGAATACCCTAAATGGGTGTAGGAAGCCCCTCCCAATTATTCCTGCTATTTTTTGGTAGGTTGGACCAAAATAGCACTCGGGTTGTCCAAATATTTTTATCAACTTTGGTTGGAACTTTATTGGGCTCCTATAATTTTTATGATAACCCAACTAAATATTTGGTAGCTCGTTCTCATTATTATGGGCTCGATAATAATTTAATTAATTGCACATTAATTAAATATATCAATTCTGTCACACGAATTTTATTCGCTAGGAAATTCAATTACACATCAAATTTCAAATTCAAGTGCATCCGGGTGCGGTGTCACAATGTATATATATAATGATATCAAGGTATCATGTACTTTTATGTTGCTTATGTGTCAAAAAAGTTTTGTGATACTATAACATCATAATTTTGTAAGATATTATAATGTCATTATTTTTTGACATTAATATGTTTTTGTACCAGTGACACTAAATTTAGTGTCACTTGCCCCGCTTTTCTGTGACACTTACGAAGTGTCATTAAATTGTTTAGTGACACTAATTTAATGTCACTATAAGCCATTTTTTACTAGTGATATGAAGGTTCATACAGCGAACAGAGATTGGTTATGGGTAGATCTTAGATATGAAAACCTTCGCGGGGCAGTCACTGTGGCCGGCAGGACAGTCAATGTGGCCGGCGGGGCAGTCACTATGGCCGATGGGCAGTCACTGCGGCAGCGGAGTCACTTTGATGGCCGGAGTCACTTTGGCGTGAGTACTTTGCACTGCATGATTAATTGTGAGGATGGTCACATTTTTAGAATTTTTAAAAACATGTCACTTTTTTGTCTTTTATCCCACTTTTAGTAATATCAAGGCCAAATGGCCTTTTCTCAAACACTAATTGTTTTTGCTATTAATCACTTGAAAGAATGGCAGGAATAAGACTATCGGATTTGACATTGACAAAAATAAGACCTAATTATAAATTGGACAATTATGAGACTAAATAAATCTGAACTGACAAAATTGTCTTCAAATAAATACTCTGTATTAAAATTTACTCCAGCCATTACCTGCATGTCTTCCACTTCCGTCTAAACCAGAGCACAATTACAAGCCCTTGTTCATCCATTTGAACCAGAGCTCAAGCACAAGGATGGTCATTCCGATTCCCGAACCAGTGCTTCAACTCCGTCGAACGGCAACAACGTCCACCGGCAATGCGTCTGACTCGGCGGATAGCGATGACACCTCCCCTCTGCCACTTCTTTCTCTGCCGTCTGGTGTGGTCTCCTCCCTTGTCGTCGGTTGCAATCTCTTGATCTTCTTCTCCTCCTTTCTTCTGTCCGCAAAAATCTGCTACAATCTAGACACTAAAGCCCAACCAGATACAAAGATTTAGATCTGGAGCTCCTAGTTTTGTTTATGCAGGAATCTAGGGTTTCCGATTGGGGTCGGGCAGCGGTTTAAAATTGGTTGCGATGGCCAAGTAGGGGGTGGGGCAGTGGGGAACCGCAATTTATACCGTGCAACCGGCATACCATGTGCATGGTATGTCCGGTTCTAATACAGTGTCGTTCTTATGCAATTAAAATCGTTTCCCAAAATGTTATTCTTCCCATGCTTCCACTAACTTTTTTCCACTAACTTTTCTTCCTTGCTTTCTCTCTTGTGCTGCTTTCGTTTTGAAAATTGAAGCAAGTTCTATTGCTTTGATGTAATAGGCTGCTATGAATCAATTCAGATTAATACTTCGTATAAACTTCTCCGTTCAGATTAATCTAACATGCTTTGATCGATGAGGTTAATTGGTTTTTACGTATAAAATGGAGTTACACTCTTTAATACAAATTTACATCTTAAGTTACATGGAGTTACATCTTTTTATGAACGAGTTACATATTCATGTGCATGAGTTACATCTTTTTATAAGCGAGTTACATTTGGACTTACCTCAACAACTTACATTTGTCATCAACACGAATTACATTTATAATAATTAGACTTTCTTTTTCATTGTTTACATTGAAATCAATGTTTTATTTCGTATACTATGTATTTGACAAGTTACATCTCATTTTGCTTGAGTTACATTGATCAAGAACTCGAGTTACATATCTTTACACGCGAATTACATCATCCATGCTACTGGGATGAAAAAAAAAAACACTGTACACGCGTGCACTGTTCACGCGTGTACTGTTCACGCGAATTTTTATTATTATTTAAAATTGATCAAAACTACGTCGTTTTGGGGTGTGGAGCATGGTGCTCACCATGCTCCGGTTGCACGGTATACGGATTGGTGGGGAACGGTTGTCAACGACTGGTAATTGCAGCGACGGTTGGTGTTGGTTTGGGGGTAGTGGCTTCGTCGTGGCTGGTGAGGTGGCTGGTGCTAGAATCGAGCTGGTTGGGTGCTGGATTTAGACTGGTGGAGGCTGGGAGGGGATAGGGTGGGCCACGGTGGTGACGGTTGCCAGGAGGGGTGGTGGCAGTAACTTGACCAGTAGGGGGCTGGTGGGGGTGTTAGGGGCTGGGGCTGGGTAGGGATAGGGGTCACCGAACAGCGGGGGCGGGGTCAATGGGCGGGTGGTGGCAAGTGGTAACTGGAACGGGTGGGGCGACGGTTAATGGACGGGCAGTGGTAACCGAAACGGGGGTGAGGCGGTGGTCACTGAAGGAGCACGATTGTCACGGTCGGGTAATTGTAACTGGACGGGTCAGGTAACTGTAACTGAACGGTCGGATAACTGTAACTAAACGGTCAGAGAATTGTAACCGGACGGTCGGGTAACTGTAATTGGACGGTCACCGAACAGCGGGGGCGGGGTCAATGGGCGGGCGGTGGCAAGTGGTAACCGGAATGGGTGGAGCGGCGGTTAATGGACGGGCAGTGGTAACCGAAACGGGGGTGAGGCGGTGGTCACTGAAGGAGCACGATTGTCACGGTCGGGTAACTATAACTGGACGAGTCAGGTAACTGTAACTGAACGGTCGGATAATTGTAACTAGACGGTCGGGTAACTGTAACCGGACGGTCGAGTAACTATAATTGGACGGTCGGGTAACTGTAACTGGACGATCGGGTAACTATAACTAGACGGTCGGGTAAATGTAACTGGACGGTCGAGTAACTGTAACTAGACGGTCGGGTAACTGTAACTGGACGGTCGGTTAACTGTAACTGAACGATCAGATTAGTGTGACCTAACTGGCGGATGTTGGTAACAGGACGGGTTGACATTGGTAACTAGATAGAATTTTTTGTCGCTAATGATTTTGGTCACTGGCGGATTTTTGGATTTTTGGTCACAAATGATTTTTTGTCACTCTAATGTTATTGGTCAATGTGGCGTTACTGTAGCACTAATAGTGAAGATTCTATTAATATATGGGTATAATAGTCTCCTAACCTATTTTTAGTCTCATTTTTGGAAAATAGAAGAAAAAAAAAAGGTCATTTTTTATCCCTAGCTCCTTTTTTAGTAATATTTTAAACATAACCCCTAATCACTTTCCATTTAATCTCAAAGATAGAACTAATGTACTAAACGCAAACACTCGTTTAGACATACATAAAACCAACCAGTAATGTAACCACATAATGGCTTTGAAATATTCCCTTTATCTCGGACATTCTCTGTAAACCCCAATACGCGTACAAAGAAAAGAAGCTTCGAAGCTAAATAAAGAAGTTATCGTGTGGTTGTTGAACAAGATATAGTAGTATTTAAAAACTAATAGGGAGAATTAAGATAACATGCACAGTAGCTATAGTCGCCTATAGACTTGATCTTAAGCACGGAATTGATGAACAAGTCCAGTCTTGATGGTGGATGCAATTTATCTTAATTTTAATTACAGTATAATTGATAGTAATGACGACTAAATCAGACAGAACTTAACGTACTGATCTATAAATATACACTCCCCTCTCTCTTGTTCTATCATCAATTATTCAACAACTTTAAACCATATAATCCTCACACATTTCATTCTACTTAATTAGCAGAATGGCTTTTCGGTTCTTCATCTTTGCTATTTTGGCTATTACTATAGCTTCTTTTGCCAATGCATCCGATCCCACTCAATTACAAGACTTTTGTGTTGCAATTGATGATTCCAAGGCTGGTGGTATATATCTATCTCATATACTCGATTAAGTTTCATTAATTAGTGTCACTTTGAACTTTAATTAATTATGTCTATCATTATACAAGTATGTCACTACAAAAAAAATGACGGGATTGGCACGGATTTCCCGATAATTTCGTACCAAATAGCTCATCTCAAACTGTGTTTTGGCACGGATTTGGCCTATCTTTGTCAAATCTCTGCCAATTTTGGAAAATCCTTGCCAAAAATCTCTGTTAATCTCGTGTTTTTTTGTAGTGTAATACTACGTAAGTAGTAATAAATTATGCTTTTAGAATGCAGTCCCGCCACATAGTTTTATGGGTCAACCCTATTCCAATTTAGTTATTTAGAGTATATATGATTTTACGTTTTCTGCTTCAATAAAGCTTGGGGGGGGGGGGGGTGAGCGCGCCTCAGCTTGCTGCCGAGGCTAAGAGGCTTACTTTATACAAAAGTAATCAATAAATCCATAAATATGTAAACAAATAAATTAAATAGATATTAGTATACATTGCCTCCATTCCATTAAACTTTATTACATTTCTTTAATTATGGCACTTTGTATAATTTGCCAATATACAAATTATTTTGCAGCACCTTGATCTTAAGCTCGATTCTTTTGCACATATACAATCATTACTCCGTACTTTTTATTTCATGTACCAGTCAAATTTCAAAAAGTATTACTCGGAGTAGTTTCTTATACATGAAACATGTCATGTATTAGTTTTTTGTATATAGCCCTTCTATATTCTTATATTTTGCAGCACTTTATTTTTTCGACAGCGTTCTCATCTTTGTAACACTTCCCTTTAATGAGAAGTCTTATCTATTAAAATATGTAAATACTTGTACCTTTTACTCTTACTTACATTTTCTCACCTAACTTATCACTTTACCATATCTTTCTTACTTCATTACTTTACACTAATGCTACCACTTTTTTCATAAACATTATGCAAAACCGGCCTAATGTTGCAACTTGCAAATAAGATAATATGGAGGGAGTAATAAAGTAGGGTTATATGACTTATATCATACGTAGAACTATTTATCTTTTAGTGTTTCTTCATGCTTTTTTACTTTGAGTTTCTAATGTATGATCATCTTGCACATGATAAAAGCCTAATGATTTGTTTAGAGATCAGATTATATTTTTGAAATTATTCTAAAGTAGTGCTACATTTATAAGAGATCTCATATTTATTTGTATTCAAGAAAGCGATTTGTTGCTTTTTCTCGACTATAACTCGTCTATATGTGAACATAAATTATGTCCTCCCATTTTGATATTTTCGTTATAAAAAAAATTGGTAAATGTCCCCCGTCATTTACCTCACATTTACCTCACTCATTTTGGTGGTTTGCCTTCCGGATTAAAAAAAATGTGTAGATAAAAATTGACATTTTGTTTTCCATGGTAGTGTTTGTCAATGGAAAGATCTGCAAGAATCCAACAGATGTCGATGTTGGGGACTTCTTTCTCTCAGCAGGCCTTAACAAACCCGGAAATACGTCAAATCAGCTTGGATCTGTAGTTTCAGCTGTGACTGTGGATACTCTACCTGGGTTGAACACTCTCGGCATTTCACTAGCTCGTATTGATTTTGCTCCCAACGGGGTCGTTCCTCCGCACACCCACCCTAGAGCATCAGAAGTCCTTGTGGTGTTGAAGGGAACTCTATATGTTGGATTCGTCCTTTCGAATCCTAAACCAGGAATGAAGAATAAGCTCTTTACTAAAACGTTATACCCTGGAGATGTTTTTGTGTTTCCACAAGGCCTTATTCATTTCCAGCACAACATTGGGAAGTCAAACGTTGTCTCCTTATCTGGCTTAAGTAGCCAAAATCCAGGAGTTATTACGATCGGCAATGCTGTTTTTGGATCTAGTCCACCCATCAAGTCAGATGTTCTCACTAAAGCATTTCAAGCCGACACCAAAGTTATTGAATATCTTCAATCAAAATTCTAGTATGATGACCACAAAGAATTAGTACTACGATGTCATTTCCTTCTATCTTTATATTAACAATAAACTCATGTAATGAATAACACTTCCTTTATATTATACATATACTTAGTTTATGTTATGTGCATAATATAATGTGAATGTTCAACTTCCGCTAAAGAGGATTGTCATGGAATAAAGTCATTGCCTTTATTACATTTGGAAAAGTACTTCTTACGTATATTCTCATTTGCTCAACTTTCACCTTAGCACTATTTATTGTATTTTTTCTTTAAAAATCAATTGTAGAAACTAATGCAACACAAAATAGTAAATATGGATATAAATATGTATGAACAAACTATTTCAACGTGGAACCCAAAAGCGAGAAAATTATGTGAGTTTTTGGCTAATATTCAAGTCACTCTCATTCTCATTAGGCCCTCTTCACCATTACATCATACAAGTATTAATCTCCCATTAATGGAGTATTAATCTATCTAGAGAAAGGGAGAGAAAGTGGGGGAGACGAGAAGCCAACCCCAAAATACGGATCCCCAAAATGGAGGGGAAGCCCCATATTTATAGAAAAAGAGGGAGGGGGGTGCATTTCTACTCTAATGGGCCGCATGGGCCAAATTAAAGTGGGCCGGATGGGCCGAAATAGGCCTCACTGATCGGGCTCCATACTTAGGGGTGGACACGGGTCGGGCCGCCCGGCCCGGAACCGGACTGGCCCGGAACTGTTTGGGCCTGGCCCGGCTCGGTACCCGGTCTTGGGGCCGGTTCGGGCCAACCGGAACCGCTCAACTCCCGGTTCGGGCTCGGGCCTTGAAAATGTTGAACCAGCCCGGCCGGTCCTTTTCAATTTTTTTTTGTTTCTACCGGGTAGGGCTGGTGTTTGGGGGGGTTGGGTGGTGGGGGGTGAAGGGGGAGGGTCGGGGGTAATTTAGAAAAACAAAAGAAAATAAAAAAAATCATTGAACCGGAAACCGGCCCGGGCCGGTTCCGGTTCCCTACTTCCCAAACAAAAGCCCGACCGGGCCCAGGCCCGAACAGGAATCGGCCCGACCCGGGTCCATCCCTATCCATACTAGGTAATGCCTTGGACTCCTGAACAGTGGTCGGCCAGGATAATATAGATACTAGAATATGAATTATAAATATTAGAAATGTAATTAAATTACTTAAGTTTAACTCTTTATGGTGTTTAAATCTCTATGGAAGAAAAATTAAACAACTGTGAATTATATTCTTCCTAGAATATAAGTTAAATCAATGGAAATTTTTCGAATTGGAGTAAAAATAATGTGCTATTTCAAAAATAAGAGTAGTAATATAGTTTCCTCCCAAATCAGAGTAAATTACTATAATCCTAAAATCAAACGATAATGTTTTCACATTAATATATGACAATATTAATGTCATATTGGAAGTATTTTACAAGCGTAACACTGTTTATTTCTAATCAAGGAAAAATACAATGCTCGTATACTAATTTTGTCACATATAGGATCCCTGGTAAAATTGTCTGAATGTTTTTGTTGTAGCAGAAAATCCGTGACAAAACTCATAATGATTTTATTTAAAGTTTGTCACGGAATACATCTGTGACAAACCCCACCCTTGGATAGTCTTGAACCCGGTTCGGGCCGTCCAACCCGTGAACCGGCCTGGCCCGCTACTGTGCGGGTCCGGACCGGCCCGGTCCTTCGGTCCCAAAACCGAGCTTTGACCCGAACCGGTAGGAATAGCGGAGGCGGTCCCGGTTCACCCCATTCTTTGGAACCGGCCCGGGCGAGCCCGAACCCGGTTCGGGCCTTCTTTTTAATTTTTTGGGTTTTTCATTGTTTTAGGCTTTTTCCTGAGTTGGGCTGGGTGTTTTGGAGGGATTGGGGGGGGTTAATAAGAAAAGAAAAAAAACATGGACCCGGCCCGACGCGGACCTGGTGGTAACCCGGGCCGGTCCCGGGCCTTCAACCAAAAATCAAAAGCCCGGCCGGGCCTAGGCCCGACCCGGACCCGAGTCCGTGACTACCCTGGGAGAACTGTGACTAGGCCTGGACTCGGGCCGGGCGGCCCGCCCCGGAACCGGTCCGGCCCGGTTACTGTTTGAACCGGCCCGGCCCGGGAACCGGTCGGGGGGGTCGGGTCGACCCGGCCCGGTAGTCCAGTGGTTCAGTCTCGGGCCCTTCAAATGGCGAACCGGCCGGGCCGGGCCGGGCCCGGTTCGGGCCTAACGGCTCTTTTTTTTTTAAAAAATTGTTTTAAAATTATTTGGGGGCATCTAGCCGTTGGAGGGGGTGGGAGGGGGGGTCCAGGGGTTTTGGGGTGGGGGATAAAAAAACCTATTTATACTCCTATTTTCTATACATTTTTTACACCTCTTCTCCAACTCTTCCTAGTCTCTAATTCTCTATACCCTCATACTCTTAAATCTTAATCATCTCCATCTTCATCTTCTCCAAACCTCTCTACATATATATATTATTTATATAATTATTATATCTACTTATATATTAATTATCTACTTATATACCTATATTATATTACTAATATTTATTATCTACTTAATATATATTTATTATCTTCTTAATATTTACTTTGATATCTACTTATCATCTATACTTATTGTTATTTACTTATATATTAAATTATTAATTATCTACTTTACATACATATATTATATTACTTATATTCCTTATCTACTTAATCTCTACCTATTATCTACTTATATATATTAAAGTATTATATATAAGTGTATTACTCATCTTATAGTAATATAAGATTGATTAGTATTTTACAGTTTATTATAAAATGTATTTCATGTTTTAATTTTTCCTTCAATTCCCTATTGTAATTTGTAAAGTTGTATTTCATATTTCAAATAAATATACATTCTTTTTTTTATATGTAGCACTTCTAAAATTAATTAATTAATTAATTAATTAATTGGTTACAAACTTACAACTTACAACTTAGAATTTATTGTATTAGTATTTTTGAAAAATGTATTTCATATTTAAGTTGTATTAAAAAGATTAAAAAAAATAACCTAGGCACGACCCGACCCGGCGGGTGGCCCGGCCCGAACCGGCACCGGGCGAAGGACGGGCCAGTTTCGGGGCCCCCTTTATAGGACCGGAGGCCCAACCGGGCCTAGGCCCGGCCCGGGCCCGGCCCGAACCGAGTCCAACCCTAACTGTGACACGTCCTGACAAAACTAGTCGTTATAGTATTTGTTAGGAATTCGTGACAAAATGATCAATATACATGTCACTTGAGAGTGATTTCACACCACCTTCATTTCATCCATTCTACGGAGTATATTATAATGCTTTTGCCTTCTAGAGTAATTTGATAATGTAATTAGGATTCTGAAGTGTACAAATGTATAATTTTTTAACTTGTCTGGAAACTTTTTTTGTGTCTTTTTGGACGTTTATTATCTATAAAATTGGATTTTGCAACTGACATTTTTTTGTTTATATATTGGCCTAACTTCATGAGTTCATGGAAAGAAATTGTCAATACAAATAAATTTTAAAATATGTACTAAAATGAAACAATTGTTTGCCTTATTGGTAACATGTTTTACTAACGGTAAAATTGACCTTTTCCGATCATCGTTTTTATATGCGGTTAACTTTAGAGACAAAAGTTATAGGCACAAAAAAAAAAAATTAAAATTGTAATTTTTACTGTGTCCAAATAGTCATGGACCCAGTTCGGGTCGCCCGGCCCGGGACCGGCCAGGCCCGCTACTGTGCGGGCCCAGAACCGGCCCGGTTCTCGGGTCCGGGTCGGGCCTAGGCCCGGTGGGGGGGGCGGGTCCGGGCTCGGGCCTTGTATTTGGCAAACCGGCCCTGCCGGGTCGGGCCCGGGTCCGGGCCGAATTGAATTTTTTCATTTTTTTTTTCATTTTTTGGGGTTACCCGGGTTGGGCTTGATGGTTAAGAGGAGTTTGGGGGGTTTGGGGGGGTGGGGGGTGAGGGGGGGGTTAGGAAAGCAAAAAAAAAAAAAAAAAAAAAAAAAAAAAAAAAAAAAAAAACCGGAGGCCCGGGCCTTCCTTCCCAAAAAAAAAGCCCGGCCGGGCTCGGCCCGGAACCGGAACTGGCCCGGGTCCATGACTATGTCCAAAGTTACAAATCTGATCATGTCAATTTATAAATATTAACAATGTTACTCAGTTACTTCAATTTTAGTAGCGAGGATCACATTTAAAAAAATCCAGACAATTAGCGATGACATACAAAATTGAAAACATGACTACATGAGGACTACATTTCAATGTTGTCAATGAACGAGGAAGTGAAAGTGCGATTTCCCTAATATTTGTCAATGTCCCTTTAATTCTCACTTCCCTTCAATTAGTGTGTTTCAAGTCAAACTACTGACCTATTCAAAAAAAAAGTCGAACTGCTGATGCTAATGGTATGAAGCATATACTTTCATACAAAGCAAAAGTTTAGCCAAAAAAGCCTGAGTGGGAACTTAAAAATACCCACATTCCATAATTACATCCTTGTTCAAGTTCTTGTTATCAGAAGCACATATTAACAACTCCATACCCATTCATATCCTGAGCAAATCATCTTAGTCGTAGGGTAGCCCTACATCAACAACATAAAATATGAATACACAATCAAGAGAGCAGTGATCTGTTCACTTGACTTTCTTTCGGTCCAAACAAGCACTGAACATAGTATCAAATAGAAAAGACCAGTCCAAACTTAAATGATATAGACTATAACATACAAGTTCAGACCACAAAGTACTAGTCCAAATGAAAAGGGCCCAAGTCAGGTAACATATGATTTCTTGATGTATAGTTATCACTAACAGTAGTGTAGAAGCAACTCAGGTGAGAGTGACTCTCACAGAAGACCAATGCTTTAAGATCCATATGGTCGATATGGTCTAAACATTAAAGCATGTAATAATTTATTCAATTAACTGTCTCCGCTAGCAAGCAATGTAATGAGGTAATCAGGAGTGTGTGAGACACAGAAACACATATGAACTGTTGAAAAGCATTCAAGTGAGCGCTATACGTACAGGTTCAAGTCATTCAAATCCTTTATAGCTTCATTGACTGCATGAATGACCATCTTCTTCACCTGCTCCGCAAGAACATTATTAAAGTGAAAGCCATCTGTTGTGCTATGATTTTTTTTTTCTTTTTAGAAGTATAGCTCACAGTAAAGCATATGAATATGCTTATGTACAGAGTATTTAGGTCTACATCTACTTATTAACAAGTTTATTAGAGAATACTATCAACCATAATTTCAACCAATGCTAAAACTGTATCAGCAGATGAAGACAAAAGTAAACAGTGTTAACAGTCAACCAGATGCACAAAAAGGGTTCCCCCGAGTGGGTAATCAAGTGAATATTAGAAATAAAGAGCAGGGTTCAAATCCCCCTTGAGTCTGTTTTGATGGTGGGGAAGACTTTTGAGAGTTTAGTCTTAATATTGATATAAAGAACTTCACCAACAACATTGAAATGCTATGTGATCACGTTTTTTGTTAATCTTTCTTTTATAAAAACTCAAGAATATAACACGATATAGACCAACTCCAAAGTCTTTCCCTCCAAACCCTCCACCCAAGCACAGCTTAGGGTGTTGACCTCCCACCTTACTACCCTTTACAGGGTGAATTTAAAATAGGGTCATCACACTTGCTAAGAGGTCAATCCGTATCGTGATTAGCCTCCACTCTGCATACCTTGAGGAGGTCTGGAAGAAGACTCGGGGTCCGGAATGGGACATGGGATATTCAACGTTTTAGAACAAGATGCCTTACAAGGACACTAAAACCCCACTTCTTTCCCATTAAATCCATCTATTATGGGCTTACAAGCTCTTGACATACTTTAGGTTTCCTACCCATATTTTTGTTTTACGGTTACAAACAAATACACTACACCCACACTAGAATGATAAAAGCAATAGAGAAAGACAATAAAAAGATGCATATGTGAGAAATATGTGTCAAAAGAAATCATACATCAAGTTTATCTTCCTTGGACCTGTGATTCTGGGGAAGAGTTCGGAATTCTTCAGTCAACCGCACACACTCTAGAACATTTTCAGGAGAGACAAAGTCCATAGCGACTTTTATACATGGCTGATACAAGTAGCAGAAGTAGATCATCGTCATTAGATTAGAGCAAGGAAAATCAAAGTAAAAACAAAAAGGACATTATGATATGAACCTTCTTCAGAGAAATTGGACAGACAATAAAAAGGAATTAAAGCTGACATCATCATCTTAGTGAAGTAATTCAATCACAGAAATAAGCTAGTATACCTTCAAGTTTCTAACTTGATGAGGACAGCCTGCTGGAATAAAAACAGCATCTCCCAACTTCTGAACAAAAGTCCATGGTTCAATCCCTGTATATACAATGCATCAAACCATTTTTTTAAATCATGCATTTAGGTAACAAACTAAAAACTATACAACACAAGCCTAACCATGTTCTTTTTTTAGCCGCTTTTTATGCTCAACAGTCAAGTAAAAGGTTTGGTCATGAATAGGATGAACAACCTAAAAGAATAGAATATAGATGACTACATTATTTTTATTAGAAGAATAAAAGATAAATCTAGGAAATTATCCGCCAAAGTAAAAGAGAGAAAATTTATCTTCTTCAAAAGCATCATGCACCCAATTGAGAATAGAAAGTTGCAACACATAATACCATCGACACTGGGGAGCAGTTAGTATGTGTGAACTCTTTAAAGTGTTCCTTGAGATACTCTTCCAACTGAGGGACATCTTCCCTCCTGAAGATGTCCCAGAGAGCACCATCAGTGCCTTCAAGTGCATCAGAGGATGATAACATACACCCATTGACGATGCCACTTTCACTCTCATTCGTATGAACTGTCTGCGGTTCCTTGTTATCCCGGGTTGCATAACCCATCTTCAATTTTTCAATATTTGAAAGTTGCTCGGGTGTTAGGTTTATTCCTTGAGTATGTGTCAAGACATTCACCTGTTACATATTTAAGCCACACATGAAAGAGTAAAACCTGACAACTGAATAATGCCAAGGGACAAAGTATGCACGCAAACCACATTTTATGCAGCATTTATACAAAAATACACGTCCTAATGGAATAATACACCGTAGCTACTCTAGTACAAGAAAAAGCATCTTATCCAAGAGAGCACCGAAAGGGCACCAAAAAATTAGAAAAGAACAGTTAATACCACATCACATATATCACAGTGCAATTTAGTTACACAGTCTCCACGCCCCAGCTCCACTGGAAAACCATAAGCTATATATGTCTTCGCTCCTATCTCTGGTTTTGCGGTGTCATATGGCAACTTAACAGCAAGATTTAAGTAGCCATGTTTAGGATCTGTATATGCCTTGAAAGGCAGGCAGTTTTCAAACTCAGCATAATGACGAGGTAACCACGTTTCAAGTTTAACTGATGGAGGCCATTCTTTCAACTTGAGAAGCAGAGGCCATTCGGATGTATCAGTTTTACCTTTCATATACCATTCAAAAAACTGGTGGGTATTGGTCTCAACCTGCAAATTACTATAAATAATTAATACAGAGTACATGCAAAATGAAAATGAATCCAGGACAGTAGCTGTTTGCAGTTAAAAAGAAAATAATGCTTTGTAGTAGACCATTTTGCAATCAACACCACTCCATACAGCAACCAAGTCCCCGAAATAATATTCGAAAACAAGCTGCAATATATATACTTACCTCACTCCAGTCTAAGCAGTTAAGAGCAATGATATTACGATGTTGAGAACGGACTAGATTTGTTATCTGGCGAAAAGCACGCCACATTACCATAGGCTCCCAACTTAACCCTGAAGCACATTCTAGCGTATTATTGACAATCACAGGCTGACCCTTTAGCCAATGTGATCGAAAGTGTTTGAGATCCTCATGTTGAATGTCCTTAGCAACAGGAGAATACAAATAATTGTCTTCAGAATCCTCCCTACAAGCTGCTTTTCGTATTTTAGTGTTATCAATGATCTTTTCATCTACTGATTTTGAACAAGAGCACCACCTCTGAGAACTTTCAAGCATATCATTCAAATTGCATGACATAGCTGTTTCTTCTGCTTTTTCTAATAACCTAGTGACATAACTGACCCCCAAGATATGTTTAAGTTCTAAAGTTCCCTTACTACAACCACGCATAAACTCGGGTGGACAAAAAATTCTGCCATTTTCTTCAGATTCCCATTCATGACAGTGGCCATCAAGCATCTTTGGTGGATAGTGCCTGTTGGCATTTTCTCTTGATTTCACTTTAGCAGAGTTTGGCTCAATTCCATGCAAGCAATCCAGATCATGGTCAATATATTGCATGATAAATTCTCCTAAATTTCCCTGCAGATGACCATTCCTGAGCTCTTGGCAACAAGTAAGGCAAAGGTCATAGGAACAGTTTGAACAGCTTCTATGAAAATCAGTAATAGATGTTTCGCAGCAGTCACTGCAGAAAACATGTCAAAAAACAAATAATTAGCTTGCACTAGGACCATATTTTAAACTTTATATTTTAAGTATGCAGTACAGGCTGTATATGGATAACGTACCAATACAACCGATCCTCCCGATGGCAGTTTGCTTTCTCTATTACTAACTCTGAAAGTGATACTCCTTAGGAAGGGAACAAAATGAAGATAAACTTAGCTTTTTTTACAGTGCGACAATAGTACGGGAAGAATTTTAATATATGCAAATATAATGTATAGTGAAGCAATCTGTATTAAAAAAAACCTACCTGAGAATTACTACAGTCGCTTATATCATTCATGGATCATAAAATACTTTTTCATCGCACATGAAACCATTGTTAGAGCTAGAAGTATTGTATTAGGGGAGTCAAAGATTGAACTTTATACTCGGGGACCAAAGCATCATATTTCAGCATATTTAATATGGAGTAAACATTTATACGCGAGTGTGTGTGTGTGTGTATGCTAGAACCATCCATCTCAAATTGTGTCTAGAAAGAGGAAAGAAAGAAAGTAATACATCCCCAATGAGGAATGAGATCATTATGCCACTCGAATTTCCAAGCAAGAGAATTACCTTGAATCTTTGCTTCAATGTCCTTCTCCACCATTTGTTCTTCATTTATTCGTCTCAAGATAGGTAGAAGCACTAGTAAGATGTATTTCGAGTACTGAACCTTCTCCTCATTGCTGACTTCAATATTTTGATTGATCTATAAGAGGAAGATATAATGTGAACTCGTAATAGTACATGCAAGTCATATCCAAGGGGAAGCACCAATTTAGACAAGAATCAAGAGAAGCAAAGTGAAATCACCCTCAGGGGCCTATCTAGTCGAAGGCATGATGAGCAATTGCAAATGTGGAGACAAGCAGGGCACTTTCCCACAAAAGCCTCCTCTGGAATACGAGGGTACCTTTTTCATGGCAACAATTAAAATCATTCAACAAACATTTGCTAAAGAGTGCTCCTATTACTACTGTTGATGTGATTCATTAAAAGAAATGAGCAGGTAAATGTAAATCACACACAATAGAAAGAAGCATACCATCTTTTGATACAAGGCACACAATATCTCCTCGCTTTGCAGGAGGTGCAGCGAACAACCCGTCCTTTATCATTCCTCTGACATTGGTGGCACATGTTTGATTCAACTCCCTTCCCCTGTCAAATTCAAATGTACATATGTCAAAAAATGAATGAATGAATGAATCGAGTCTTCAAAAAGATCAAACCTTACATTGTTGTCATTCTTCTTATTTGCCTCATTTCCACTCTTAGGCCGACCTCTTTCTTCATCTTCCGACCGGTTGTCAAACCCCTTCTTCTTCCTATTCTTTTTCACTCTCCCCTTTTTACCAGCTTCCTTCAGACTCTCGTTTGCCTTGTCTTCTCCGTCACCTGCCGTGTTTCTTTTCTGGCCATGTCCACTGCTCCCTACAGACTTTTTCTTCTTATTGACTGAAACCCCATTACCTTCAACAATGTCAGTCAATTTCCTAGTTTTCCGGGAACAATGGTCGGGTTTTTTCTCTTCAGCTGAAGCTGCGATTTTTTCAATGCTTCCCTCCTCAGGAACCGATTTTTCCTCACTTCCCTTGCTACTTGGACCCTTCTTAGCCGGAACAGTCTGCTTCACTGGCGATTTTCCTATTTTACGGGAATGCTTCGGAAGCTCCGAACAGCCGTCTCTGCAAATTTCCGGATCTTCCTCCATCTGCATGGGTTTTGGGTAGTGATGAAAATGCTACCAGAGTTTTGAACAGTAATGAGTAATGAGTAGAGTACAAACCACAACAACATTAAGCATTAATAGATCCATTATATCCAAGTCATAAATCTATCCATTATATAGAAGGCAATAGGCATAAAGCAATAGGCAAACAAGAGGAAATAAAAACATAAAACGAATATTATAAAGATAGATAAATATGTTATTGTCGGCTAATATAAATCGATCTATTATATCGAAGTCATAAAAAGAAGGCAAACAAGAGGAAATAAAAAGATAAAATGAAATATTATAAAGATAGATAAATATAAGAATATAAGAAAGATAAAAGAACATAAAAAGGGAGAACATAAAAATAACATAAGAACATAAAAAGACAAAGAAGATAAGCAATAAAAGAAAAGAAAACGAGAGAGGAAAAGAAAAAAAATCAATCGTCCACACGAATGTGCGCCGCGCCCTACACTTTGCCCTCTCCAAAACCATGCTCTCATCCAATCTACGAAGACGCATATCAATTCTGATTCCTCTAATCCAAGTCTGTTTAGGTCTTCCCCTCCCTCTCCTCTCTGTCTCTTCTCTCCACCCCTCAAGTCGTCTAACAGGTGCATCACTCGGTCTTCGACGCACATGCCCAAACCACCGCAAACGAGACTCCTGCATCTTATCTTCTCTAGGTGCTACTCCCACTTTTTGTTTGATTACTTCATTCCTCAAGCGATCTTTTCTGGTATGTCCACACATCCAACGCAACATACACATCTCTGCCACACTCATTTTTTGAATGTGACATTGTTTCACTGCCCAACACTCTACGCCATACATTAATGCAGGCCTAATTGATGTTCGATAAAATTTACCTTTCAGTGTAGTCGGCATACCTCAATCACAAAGAAATCATGATGCACTCTTCCATTTCATCCACCCAGCTCTGATTCCATGGGATACATCTATCTAATTCACCATTCTTCTGAATTATGAAGCCCAAATAATGAAACATATCACGCACTGGTATTTCCTTACCATCAAGAGTAATCCCACCGTTGCTACTACTTCTACCTCCACCAAACTTGCACTCCGTATACTCAGTCTTGCTCCGACTTAGTCTGAAACCCTTGGTCTCCAAAGTTTGTCGTCATACTTCTAACTTTGCTTTAACACCCGATTGTGTCTCATCAATCAATACAATATCATCGGCAAACATCATGCACCACGGTATATCTTCTTGAATTGACTTCGTAAGTTCATCCATGACTATAGCAAATAAGAAGGGACTCAGAGCCGGTCATTGGTGCACTTCGATAGTAATAGGGAACTCTGCGGTCCTCCCTACACTAGTACGAACACTCGTAGTACAAGCCTCATACGTGATATGCCTTTTCTAGTTAAGGCCCACCAAAGAACTTCTCGGGGTACCCTATCATACGCTTTTTTTAGCGAACGAACGAAAATTTTATTCATGAAAGAACGAAAATACAAAAGGGGACTAGAACAATCAGCAAGCATGGAAAGTTAAAGAAATAACCCAAATAAAATGATCACCCTAATAATTCAAGAGAAACTGATTGCTCAAATTGCTCTCCAGCCTGTCAAACTTTCAAAAATTAATTTGCCTAGTGCATATGATTCACCAACTTCTACACTCTCACGTGATTGTAGTTCCCTTGTCCCAGCTACCAGCGATAATTTCTTGTGTCGCCCCTGGTCATCCAAAATTGCAAATATGTTCCTCCTTGTCTTAACTTAATTCAAGTTGTGCATCTTCTTCCCCGTGAACCCAAATCACTGCTCCTCCCCAACTGAACATGTTGCTCGCATTACATCTTTTTCTCCGGTACCAATCATGGAGGCACAACACAAAATCTTGTCGATAAATCACCCATTGGCTTTGAAACATCCTGTAGCTAAAAATGTACCCCGAAACCTGTGACCCAAGATAGCCGGCGATAAACATGTTGCAGTCCCCCTGCTCCAGTAAGTCAATGAACACCAAATGCAGATCCTTTTTAGTGTCTTTGTACTTCTCCACAACTTTTCTAAGAAGGTGAATGGCCTCTGTTGTTGAGCGTCCAGGCATAAAACTAAACTGATTCTCTGAAATTTTCACACTTTTCGAAGCCTTTGCTCAACCACCCGCTCCCAAAGTTTCATAGTGTGACTCATAAGCTTAATCACTCGATAGTTGGCACATTCTTGTACATCACCCTTATTTTTAAATAAGGGAATGAGAGTACTCTTCCGCCAACTCATTGGCATTTTGTTGTTTCTCTAAATCATGTTGAAGAAACGTGTTAGCCACTCAATGCCTTTCTCTCCCAAACTTCTCCAAGCCTCGATTGGTATGCCATCTGGGCCCACTGCTTTCTTCCGCCCCATCTTTCCAATAGCCTCTTTAACTTCTGTTATTTGGATCCTTCTCACAAAGTCTCGATTTACCATACACTCAGGTATAGTATGATCATCAATACCTTGCACCTTATTCCCGTTGAACAAGGTATCAAAGTATGACCTCCACCTCGCCTTTATTTCCCCGTCCTCCATTAGTACCCTTTGATCGACATCCTTCACACACTTAACTTTTCTGATATCTTGAGTCCTACGGTCACAAAGACGAGCAAGTCTGTAAATATCTTTTTCTCCTTTCTTAGAGTCCAATTTTGCATACAATTCCTTGTCCACTTTTTCTCTCGCTTCCTTTACAGCTTTCTTTGCTCTTCTTCTAGCCTCCTTGTACTCCTCTACGTTCTCGTCGGTCCAGCTTTTTCCCAAGTTCTTATAGCATTCCCTTTTGGTCCTTATTGCTTGTTTCACCTCTTCATTCCACCAAGATGTGTCCTTTTTGGTGGTAGACATCCTTTAGATTCTCCAAGTATCTCTTTCGCAACTTTGTTAATGGTGGACTCCACTAATAACCACACATCGTCCACATGTGTGTCATTATCAATGGACCAAACATTTTCCTCCAACATTTTCTGTGCAAAAGTTTATTGGAGATTCCCCTCGAGTCTCCACCACTTTATCTTTGGCTCCCCTTGTACCTTAACACACCTTCTCTTTTTACCTTGAAAATCAAGCATAAGCATCCTATGTTGACTTCGTACCTGGAGACGTGGTCTCGAGGTTAACCAGAGTTAGGTTGGCTATAAAATACCCTTGGTCTGGAGTCATTTATCTCGCACGATTCAGATATTGAAGTGAAGCCCTATCGAATTTTAGAGAGAGAAACACTTAGTTGATTTAACCCAAACTTTCAAGGTCAACTCTTCCTCTGTTCTTGCCATTTTCCATACATTTTGCTTTGTAGGCCTTAGATCTAGTGTTAGTCGCCTTAACATTTAGTAAGAGCCTTCGTCCTTAACTGTAAGTATCGAAGGCATGTCATCTAAGAGCGATTCGCATAACATTTCGACATCATTGTGAGTGTCATCTAGGAGAGGCCCCCAGCCCACAATCTTCAGTGGTAGCCGATTTCGATCACGTGAAGGACTTAGAAATCCGCTTTTGTACAGGAGCTGGAGTCAAATACTTCAAACAAAAGATTGAAGGTGAGGAGATAGTTATCTCAGGCCATCCAGATGGAGGAGGGGGAGGAGGAGGAAGGGAGAGAGCGCCTCCGGTCCCAGGATCTTGTTTCCTTGCAAGGTGATGGAGAAACTGGACTTCGCTCGATGAAGGTAAAGAGAGCCTGAAGAAGGGTCGTGCCGAAGAAAACAGGCATTCGTTGACGGGGCCAGTCCATGGGGATTCCTAAGGGCCATTCTTACCTCAACACAGATGCCCTGGCATGGGGGATGAAAATCGACGACTCAGATTTGAACATTACCCAGTTTTATATTAGGCCTTCGGCATTGGTGGTGGAACCAGGTCCTGGGGACGTATTATCAAGTCCTCTTGAAGGATGTTTTGCAGTTCACATCTTGTCGGTGGCGATGGGCCTTCAGTGTCTGTTGCATCCTTGTTGGAGTATATTTGGTTCATGGGTCTGACACCGTGTCAGATGACTCCCAACAACTACTCCTACATCTCTGGCATCATGTTGGTATGCATGGCAAGGGGGTGGACCCCTCCGTCTATTTTGTTTTTCCTATGCTTCAATCTCTGACAGGGGGCACATGATAGCAAGGGCTTCGCTAATGTCCCGCAGGTTTCGGAATGGAGGCTATTCAAGGAGGTGTTCTCGCCCCATAAGGATTGGAAAGGTCGCTTTTGCTATATAAGGATGGTGGATAACTCTTTCTCGGGATCTCTTCGCGATAGCTTTCGGAGACATCCAAAAGTAGGGAGCGTTGCCCTCGAGAAATAGGAGGAGAAGTTTGTGTTGGAGGAGGAGCTGACGATAATCAAAGAGGTGACAGCCCCAGATGATCTACTTAAGCTTAGCTTATGACAGTACTGGCTCCTGGTAGAGCAGGATGAGAGATACTCGTTGATCGATCGGGTTTACGAGAGTGCACCCCTTCCGATGGCGTGGCCAAAGGTTGATAATGGGGGCTCTGTGAATTTATACTAATGGATATTAAAAGTAGAATGGTGGGGTCTGAGAAATAAATGGTTGATCAATGAATGTGCACAGGCTGGTAGATGAGAGACCAAGGGTGGGGCGACATGTTAAAGACATTATTGGCAGAGTCCATGATTGGGATTGAGATGTAGTCCTCCTGCAATGGGAGTCTTCTCGGAGTTTGAGAGAGGACATGAAAACTGGTCGAGCGGGGGACCCAAAGAGAAGGTGAGTATCAGAGGATCAAGCACAAGATACCCAAAGAGAAGGCGGAGTATCGGAGGATCAAGCACAAATGAACCAAAAAATGTAGAAGGGGCAGTTGCTGAGGGTCTTGGCCCACCTAGCTCCTTGAATAAAGATTATATTTTTAATTCCACAATCCTAGTTTTTTTCATAAGGACTCTACATTTTGCTTTTACTGGGTGGTGTTAGCTAAGTAAGACTTTACTTTGGTGTTTGTTCTTGTCAAGGACAAGCTCAAAACAGGTCTAGTGACAATGATTTTTGATCAGTCATGGTCCACTTACAGGTGCATGGATGGGGATTAGTGAGTCAAATTGCTCATGTGTGGGTAATTGACTCAAAGCCTCACACAAGGGCTTATGATGAAGCTATGTTTTTCTTTTCTTATTGACTTTTCCTTATTTTCTGGTCATGGTGTTATCTGTCTGAATTCTGATATTATAATATAAGCCATTTACATCGAAAAAACATACGGAAATTAACATCCAACTTTTGCATCTGCACTTATTTTCGTCTCCTTTACATTATGTGCATATTAATTACCTTTCTTTATATTAATGTCTTCCCTCCTCCCGCGCACGTCTCTCTTCCCTTCTCCCATGCACATCACATCGATTGACTTCACCACGCCGTGTGCATGCATTGTTGGCTCCATCCCTAGCCATCTCTATCGCCGGTAACTCCATCGCACACTGCCGTCTATCGAGCTTCTTTCTTCTTCTTCTTCTTCTTCTTCTTCTTCTTCTTCTTCTTCTTCTTCTTCTTCTTCTTCTTCTTCTTCTTCTTCTCTTCTTCCTTCTTCTCTTCTTC